TTTTGTTTTGAATTGGAGTCATTATTGATTATTGGAAATTGTAACTTAGTTTGTCTTGTTTTGATTTGGAATCATTAGCAAGGGTTGTGTTTAGATTGTTTGTTCTAACTTAGAATCATTTTTGAAAATTGTGATTTAGTTTTATTGAAGTATTTGCATGCCAAATTTATAGGCGAGATATGATGAACTAATGTTATGTCATAAAATCTGTAAACCACCATATTTCAGGCAAATAAATGAATCTATCTATCTATCTATCTATCTAGTCCAGTTATCTTGTCGAACGGTTACTTGAAAACTGGACAACCTACGTACCTGAATTAATTTGTTTGATGAGATTATAATACACACTAAATGTGGGAGAGCCATGCTTCGGCACGAATGGGCCGGCTCGACCGGAGTGATACCACGGCCGAGCAGAAAACCGACGTAAAACAACGCTTGCGTTGTGTTTCGTCGTGTGAGTGTGGTTACCGGAGGTCCATTTACCTCCCCAATCTCTCCAGTCCCTCCCTAGTCTCCCGAATCTCCGAATCCTCCACAATCCTCAAATTCCCAATTCCCAAAAGGCCGATAACGCACTTGTAACGCCTTGGGGTTCCAGGTGTCCATGGGCAACGCCGATTGCTTACCATCAGGTGATCCGTCTGCTCGTTTACCGGCTTATGCCATAAAAAAAAGACATTCATCTTCACTTGTTTCCATACTTTCCATGTTTCTCAGGAGACAAGAAAAATAAAAACAAACACTTGTTCTCGTCAAATCAATGACACAGAAACACTAAGAATAGTCCAATTGATGGTATTTTTCTAGAGATAAGTAACACGAGTACAGTCCATACGGAGGTCGTATGAAGAGCGTGCATGCTTCTAAATCTAGACAATTGTTTACTTGTGATAACGCCTTCATTGTTTTCTCAGAAACTTACGAAATTCACTTGTTTGTATACGTCACATTTAAATCTACAGAGCCACCGTACATTACATACTAACAAAGTCACAAATGCCTGTGCATAGATCAGTATCTATTGTAATGTTAGGAAGAGGAACGATTCACTTGTTTGTTTGTTTTATAGATTCTAAAACTACGGACTTTGGTCAGTCAAAGTCAAAGTCAAAGCATTTATTTCAATTAACTCGTCGAGTACCGTCATTATAGACACAATTATAGAACAATAGGTTGCGGTCACCGGTGACCGCTTGGTGTTTGACAGTTTCAACCATAATTTGGTACTTTTGAAACGTCAATATATACATAATAAATAATAGTCTGTAGTGAAGCTAGGTGTAGCTAGGTGCTCATTCCAAAATGTAGATTCGAGTGGAGAAGAACGAGCAATAAACTCCATTCGTTACTCTTTTTAAAAAAGTATGTTCTACTATGTCTAAAGCTACTTAGTCCGCGTAGTATATGAATTATAGAACATAACTTGTTTTTGTTTCAATTTTTCAAAATATAAGTAGCCTATGTTACTCCTTAGTACATCAGCTACCTGCCAACAAAAGTCTTGCAAAATCGGTCCGGCCATTCCAGAGATTAGCCAGTACAAACAGACAAACGCAAAGGCAAAAATTAAAATAAATGTTATTTTGGCATTTAGAGGACCTGAAGTTTACTTTTAGGTGCTAATAGCCTCATGTGTGTATGTGTGTAAGTGTGGGAGAGCGATGCTTCGGCACGAATGGGCCGGCTCGACCGGAGTGATACCACGGCCGAGCAGAAAACTGACGTGAAGCAACGCTTGCGTTGTGTTTCGTCGTGTGAGTAAGGTTACTGGAGGCCCAATTACCCTCCCCTTCTCAAACTCCTAATCCCCAAAAGGCCGGTAACGCACTTGTAACGCCTCTGGTGTTCTAGGTGTCCATGGCCGACGCTGATTGCTTACCATCAGGTGATCCGTCTGCTCGTTTACAGGCTTATGCCATAAAAAAAAACGCAAAGAAGAAAATTAAAATAAATTTCATTTTGGCATTTAAAGGACCTGAAGTTTACTTTTAGGAGTCAACAGCCACATGTCTTAATCTTTATCCTGAAATGGTAATCACCTTTTTAAAGGTTCCGTATGTCACCTAAAAGGGTCCGAAAATTCGATTCGAGTTCATTGTTTTTTCATCATAAGCAACTTGTTTATGCTTACCTAGTTACTTTTGACTGCACGATTGGCACGGTGACTGGGCAACGTTTAACGGGTTCCATTCCCGCACAGAGTATCCACAAATTGTTGTTCACTTTTGAGTGTTATGTGTATGTGAACTTGTATGTTTGTATTCGCAACCACGACACTGGAAAAAAATCTAGTGTGGGGCAACGTATCTTATAAAAAAAACAAAAAATGTAATGTATCTATCTACTTTCAAGAAATAACATAGGCTAAGCTCGCTATACGCATATTCTGTACTTAATTGAATGAAAATATTTTCAAAATTCTCCACAGGTGAAGCCACAGATGCAAAGTTAGTATCTAACATAGAGGTAGTAACTAGTAAGTAAGTACGTTACTCCAGTAATCTGTCAAACACAGAGTCACGAACGGTGGCAGATAGCGACCGAGGGTACCTATTACGTGTATCCATGGAGTTTGGCTTACAATTTAAATGCTATTGACGATTATGAAAGATAAACAAAAAATGTCGACTCAGTTTTTCCTGTGGTTTTTCCAGATAACATACAATATTATGTCACTCAAAACAAAACTAAGTCACTTTGATGTTTATATTTCTTTTTTTTTTGTAAATACGACGTGTACAAAGTCTTCTCATTCTATCAAAATTAAAAATAATTATCAGGGATGTCACGAATATGGAATTTCGGATCCGGATTGGATACAGAAATGATTATTATACTGGATACTGTTACGGATACGGATTTTCAATTATTTCGGATTATCCGTTAGTTTCAGATGATTTCGGTTACGGATATTAAAATGTTAAGTAATTTCAAAGTAAAATACAAATATATTGTATTTGTATTGTAATATCGTGAGACATACTAAATAAATTATTATGTTTTCGGCTTACTCACGTAGTAATTTGACGAGGAACTCGACTAGTTTCAAGCCATGCTAGAGACTCATATTCATGAGCAGCATTTCGCGACCCGCGACGCTGCGACTGTCGCGCTGCCACTGGCCATGTGTGTGTGCTATGACATACCTACACACGTAAACATTGTACAGTTCCTGCAGAACATAGTCAATAATGGTCTAAAAAAATGTTACCATCCATACTAATTATTATAAGCTAGCTGTTGCCCGCGACTTCGTTCGCGTACAATATGAATTTTAGAACTTAAAAAATACTTTGTTTCATTTTTCCAAAAAAAAGTAGCCTATGTTACTCTTTAGTACATCGGCTACCTGCCAATAAAAGTCTTGCATAATCTGTGCAGACATTCCACAGATTAGGCAGTACAAACATACACTCCAATTTTATTTATCTCAATAGATGCACACGTAACTCTGTCGTTTTATCTGTCTCTTCTTCAGGCGCCTCCTAAATAACTAAACCGATTGTGATGTTTGTACGGTTCCTGTATCTTTAGTTTTTACCTTAGAAATTTTTTCCTATACTAAGAATACCTAATGCTATCGCCGAATGCTTGATACTCAATCATACACACATGGCCGAATATCAGGATGAAACTTGACGTGGAACAGCGCATAGAACGTGCATTGGATATCAATGATGTTACAAAACATTTACAAACTATATTTCAAAGACCTAGTAGATACCATTCTGGAAAGTGAAGTTCTATCAATTATAAATAATATTCTGTCTCGATTGGAAGGAACTAACATCTAAGGTACAGGCTCGGCCTAGTTTAGATGTCAGTATTCATAAACTGTGTGTCTAATGTTTTTGTTACAATAAACCCTTTTTATTTATTTATTACTAGCGACCTTCCTTAACTCGTCGAGTACCGGTTTTGTACACACAATTATAGAACAATAGGTTGCTGTCACCGGTGACCGCTTGGTGTTTGACAGTTTAAGAATCACTCTATCTATTAAAAAAAATCCGTTGCGTAGTTTTAAAGATCTAAGCATACATAGGAACAGACAGACGGCGGATAGCGACTTTGTTTTATACTATGTAGTGATTTATAGAATACTTTTCACTGAAACATGAGCGAAGACACTGGCAGAAACTATTGGAATTTAACTAAAAACACTGAATTACCTACTGTGTTAGTATAACGAATGTTATTACACCATTAAATAGTATCCATAGTTACGCCATTGACAAACATACACTGTTTACTATAACACACATAAAATCTTATGGTCTAATTCAAACATTATAAGTAAACACAATTCTACTCCAATATTTGTTTACAGATTTTAAAATGATGAGTAAAATAAACAAAGAAATTGCAATTGTGATATTAATAGCGATTGTGACACGGAATGAACTCCATCTTTATCAGTGGTACTAGTACATAGTGTCCTTACATCTCGAACTCAGTACTCAGTAGAACTCAGTAGTTAACTGTGCTCGTCACTGATCAGTCGACAAAGTTGATATAGGTACGCTGGTGTTGTATTTTTGTAGAAAAATACATAATATTTTTTTGTTTGGATATTTTCTTTCTTCATTTTATTTAAATTAATTCGGTGAGTTGTGTTTTTGTTTTTTTTTCTTAATAGAATTTTTTTGGCGGAATACTCTTTTATTATTTTAACTTTTTTTTTTAAATTATATCTACTTTTTTTTTACTTTTTCTGTGCTAGTTAGGCGAAGGTAAATGAGACATCTGTGTATTTACTATGCAATGGCTTGCAGTAACAATTAAATAAACTAGGTATCCTAATAGTTTCATTATGTAATGCCATTTTAAACTGCTTCAAGTATATTAAAAAAATTACTTCGGTGATTATTTTAACTAACCATTCATTTTCAAATGTTTTTCATTTAAAACTAACTTATCTATATTTAAGTATTTTAGTAAATTAGGAAATTAAAACATGTGTTGCAGAAAATAAGGACCAAATTTGTCAATGCTTATTGGTATAAAGGTTGTTATAGACATTTTTAATTGAAGGTATCAGTAATTTAATTCGCAAAGCACACGAAACCAAGAAAAATACGCAAAAAGTAACAAGAAATGAATAATTTATTAACTGCACAGTAAAATATAATACTAGCACCACACACCATAACCACTAAGCTACTAAATCACCATAATTGACATTGATATAATCACAAATCGCCATGAATATTGTTTAAAAAAGAAAATATCGAGGTACCGGCTAGCTATCATGTGATAATAGTTTAGGCACGCGGCCGCGCGCGGCGCCACCGTCGCGGAATATTTTTAGTTAAGTCAATATAGTGCGCTTATTGTTTGCCGACTACAGACACTACAGTAAACTGATATAATAGTTTACTGATAGAAGATAGCAACTTTGTTTGATGCAGAAGAAAGTCTGGGAGATTGTAATGATAAAAGCAAACCACGCAACATTGTATCGCGGTTTTAAAACTACCAAAATAATATAAAAGTTAACAAAATTTTGAAAAACTAAAGAATCCTTTATTTGTCCAACCGGAAAATCGAACCCGATAGTCAATCTTGAGATAACTCGATAATCACTATTATAATGATATAACTTAATGACCACAAAATTGTAAATTAGGTAGGTATCTATTAAGGTTTTAATGAATAATTTTGTATAGAACTTATGGTGCCGACTTCTAACCTATCAATAGGAGGGTAACCTATCAGTACTAATGATAGTTATTTTTTTAGTTTTGACTTTTTGTTTGTTAGTAGTTTTTTGGTTTTTCAACCAACTTCAAAGAAAAAGGAGGAGGTTCTAAACTGTATGTTTTTTAAACAGTCGTCATACATACTCTAGGATTTTCGCCTATGTCGTGGGTGCGTTTACAACCACAATATCACAAACACATGATATCCAGACCCGTAACAACAATTTGTGGATCACACAAAGAGTTAGTGCGTGCGGGAATCGAACCCGCTACACGTTAATCGGTTGCCCAGCCGTACAGTCGAGGTTATCTCAGTATATTTACGTGACTGATATATTTACGCGACACTTGTAATTTTCACTTAATTCAGTATGTCTTACGATTGTTAGTATAATAGATTTTTCATGAACTACGTT